TAGGGACCCAATCTACGTTGAATCGATCCCAATCTTTCGCAGCTTCTCCTGAAACGAAGTGCTGGCTGCAGACCCGATCGCGTTCTAAAATATCATCAGTTAAGTCTTCTCTACTTATCGCAGAGATCCACTTTATTCTTCGCTCAGAAGTAAGTTCTTCGGTGTACTCTCCTTGATTGACTATAACACGTGGGACACGGAAAAACCTTACTTTTTCGACGTTAGACCGCTTCTTCCCTGTTTTGCTCCCACAGCTAATGATAAGGCAAAGGACCATGATAAAAACAATATTCTGGCTATCATGGAACACCAACATGGCGGATGAAATCCGTTACCATGACGATATAGAAATTTGGTCACGTGAGTGAAAACGCTCTATAATTGTCATGCAACTGGCCATACGAAGACAACATGCCGCAGTCCTCATTGTTCAAATATTGATTCGTGTAAAATAAAAGACAAACACCCTGAGCACAAAATGAAGGTCAACGAGCTTCAGCGCGAGATTAAATCACTTGAAAGTCAAGCAGCAGAGGAAGAGGAAAACATCAAACGTTTAGCAAGCGCACGGGAGGGCGCCAAGACATCATTCTTTGCAGTGATGCGGCCTAGATTAAAGGCGCAGAACTTGCTCAAATATGGTACCGGGAAACGAATGCAACTGGATCGTGATCTTCTAATTTTACAGGGAGCCTTGAACAATAAAGTTCCAGACTGGCCTGAGAGCCAGGACTGGAAACTTCCACTTATCATTGATCAGTTTCAGAACTCTCAATTGAAGGCAATGATGCCGAAATTCTTGTAATTTATTTTGTCACGTTTATACGCCTTTCGTTTTGTTACAGCGAAACTGTTGATTTTGACATGTTATATAATTTTGATTAAAAAAATAATAATACGTTTTACGTTGGGTTACAGAGAACGCAATTCGTTTGGTTTTGAAGGTTTCATAATTCCAGAAAGTAAACAATAGGAAAACACAGACGGTCGGCTATTCTAAATAAGATGTATTTCCTAGAAACAAAATAAGACATGATCTCGGTAAATTGCTCGTTACTACATGTAAGCAACTAAAGCTAGAAAACATAGCCACAGTGGCAAAAATACGAGAACGAGTTTTCTGGGGATATTTGTAAAATAGACTCCGCGATTGCGATTTTCGTTTCATGTTCTGCAAATAGTTGATAGCGACGCAAATAGTCCTTTACTTGACGGAAGCAGAATTCACAAGTGTTGAAATCGGGGGAGTAGGGAGGCTGAAATAATAAAGTTATACCACAGTCAGCAAACATGTTCCTTAGAATAGGTTCCACGAATCGTGCATGGTGGAGTCCACAATTATCCATTATAAAGCAGTCGCCGCGTTCAAGAGTTGCGCTTCAATCCTCCCGCTCTAGCTGAAGGGCCTCGTCAAAAAGTGTTAATAGTTCCATGCCGTTGGAAGGGCCATCTAAAATATTAAAAAAGTCAATCCCATTTATGGAGTGTAATAAATTTATTGTGTAGTTTGAATTGGATGCGTATCGTTGAACTTCAATGGCAGGTTCTCCGAGAACAAACTACCAAAGGAAGTACAGGCAGTCATTCTAGTGAGGTGGCGAAGGTGGCAGCTCCCGTCCCAGGTGATACTGAACTAATGAACTTTTATGCAGAACTGAATTCTTGCAAGACTAAGGCTGCGGCTTTAAGTTTGATTCACCCCTTCTCGGATGCTTTTGTTTCTAAGAACAGAAACGTACCAACTATCTCAGATTTATTTGACAAGAAGTACCTAGACTTCGAGTATCATGACCTACTCAAGGCCTGTGAAAAAATTTTCCCAAAAATCACTGATGAAGAGGTGAGGCTCATAGAGGAAGATACCAGAAGCCAGTCAAAAGGGCTCTAGCTTCTATCGTCACAGGGCTGGGAGAATTGGGGCATCAATTAGCAAAGCAGCATGTCACACCAACCAGCACAGCCCTCACAATCACTTATTAAAACAATTTGTTACCCAAACATTTTCACATTTAGTACAGAGGCTACAAAAAATGGTTGTAAACATGAAAGTGCTGCTATTGAAGCTTATGAAAAGATCATGAAGGAAAAGCACATCAACTTTCCAGTAACGAAATGTGGCACGTTTATCAATAAACAGTATACATTGTTACATGCCACACCTGACTTTTTGTATAGGTGTAATTGCTGTGGGGATGGATGTGGGGAGGTAAAATGCCCCTATTGTTTAAAGGATACAGACTTGAAGCAGTTTATTAACAAATACAACTCTTGTTTGAAGTTAGAAAATGGAGATGCAATTCTAAAAAGGGAACATGCCTACTATTACCAAACCCAACAGCAAATATTCACTGCTGGAAAGCTTTACTGTGACTTTGTTGTTTGTGGTTTTCATGAGCAAATTGATCTCTTCTGTGAAAGAATTTTGCCTGATGTCAGCCACTGGCACTCTTTTGTTTCCAAACTTAATCACCTCTGGAGATACTGTGTGCTACCAGAAATTCTGGGAAGGTGGTATACTCAAAAGCGAAGTTTGTCTCATTCATCACCTGATCCCAATTCTGCTTGTTTTTGCAGACTGGCAACTGGAGGGCCTGTGGTGACATGCACAAACCAAGCATGCCCCATTTCTACTTTTCATTTATCTTGTTTGAAAATTACAAAAGAACCTAGCAAGTGGTTTTGTCCCCTGTGCCAAAAAAACACCGGCAGCCAAAAATGAAAAATCAAAATGCAAACAGACAAGAGATATTTTGGATGAAGCTCTCAAATTAGATTTTATCTGCACGTGCAAACAGAAGCCACTGTGTTCAGAAACTGCTGAAATGCCATAACCCATTTTGTCAAAGTGGAAAGTTTTTTCATTTGCCCTGCTTAAACTTCCAGCGGATGCCGAATCATGCAATGACAACTTGGGAATGTATGGTATGTGAATCAGGAGGAAAAACTGAACAAAGCAAAAAAGTTGTTAATGACTCTTTCAATACATCTGATGATGGAGTTGTGATAACTGGAGTTTCAAAATGCTCTTCAGAAAAGTCAGCATCACTTGCAAAGCTGAAGGATGGGCATTACCGACTGATTTCGTCACCCAATGGTTGGCTTGACTGTGACATTATCCATGAAGTACATGTTTGTCTCAGAAACATTAATCCAGATGTGGAGGGCTTATAGAGACCAACTTTGGGCCCTGTCAGAAACTTCAATCAAGTTAATGGGGAATTTATTCAGATTTTGCATACTGGTAATGCCAAGAAATGATCTTTACACTTGCTGGACAATCTCAGCGATTGTCTCATATATGCACTGAAAAATTTTCAGGTGCATATCGCTGAGATTGTCCAGCAAGTGTGAGGATCATTTCTTCAATTCATTCCTTACAGTGCTACGCGCCTTACCGTTGCCACTCGAGAAAGTTTTTGATTAAATTTTGACATCTTTTTGCTAACTTCAAAGCGAGCCAGCCAATCAGAACATGAGAATTTCCAAGGGCGGAGATGTCAAATAATAAGTTCATTCACTCCCTTGGGAATTTACAGGTCTCACAACAAGAGGACGAAAATGGCGTTTCAGGTGAAAGTGGAAAGGGAAACGCTTCGCAACTTTTCTCTTAGAAAACGTATCATACGATGGTCTTGTAAGTAGCATAAGAAAGAATTGTTCTTCCTTGGCTCACCTGGACGCAGACAAGATTAGACTTCGCTACCGTGACGAGGATGGCGATATGGTCGATGTTTGTCAAGCAGATTTGTTTGCGTTCTCGGAAATGCTTCGCACGTCCAAAGAAGTGAAAGACCGCGACTACAAGAAAATATTCATTCAAGCTAACGAAATTGACTCTCCGTGCCCGCGCAAAATGAAGCGAGTAGATTCTGGCGTGGAAAATTCAAGTACCGGCGACGAACTTAGTTGTTTAGAACCCAAACAACTGTCATTTTATGCGCCAACTTTTCCGTCAGCAAGTTTCACTGAAGACGCGCGAGCGAGTCCCACATCAGTTCAAAATGACCAGCAAAGATGTAGCCCGTTAGATTCAAGCAACAGGAAATGAAAGACAGTCTTACTGTTTTGCAAGTGCAGATAGTTACTGCAAAGGAAGCACTTCAAAAACTTAATCAGCTAGAGAACGAGTACGTGACACTCTCAAGTCTTCGAGGACGCGTCTGCAATAGAGCGTTTTCAAATGACGTCACATTTTTCGCGGGAAATTTGAGTCGTCATGTTGGTGTTCAACATTTTCAACATTGTGGGATATCCTCTCTCAGATTATGCGAACACGCTCGATCCCCACGTGAAAAAACGCTATTTAGAAAAGATTTCTTGTGTTGGAATCGATCCTGTCTTGATACCAGACAAAACGTACGATCCAGAGTGCCTGCCTCCTGTCGAATCCATGGATTTATTGTCGTTTTTGGTGCTCGACACGAGTTATTACAGTAAGGACCAATTTAAGGATTATAGAAGTTTGCAGTCTTATAACCAGTTGGTTTCAGGATTTGTAAGTAGCGTTAAAGGACAAAAAATAGGCAACAAATACATAGTGTCTGGGAAAGTCAGGTATTCACAAAGAATGAACGATCATGACGGGTCAAGGGGAGTGCTGCTCGCATATCGCAAGTGTTTTGTTCTTCATCGAGGCATGGAATCGGATAAACGAAAAATTAACCTGTACACAGGTAAAATGCACCTGGCTGTTACCCACCGCTGTGAAAGAGGTTGCTTATGCCCCAATCGCTGACATTGATTTTCGCTCAGCAAAGAAACTTAAGCGAAATTTGGATGAAACTATCAACAATTTGACGACTACCAAAGGAAGTACAGGCAGTCATTCTAGTGAGGTGGCGAAGGTGGCAGCTCCCGTCCCAGGTGATACTGAACTAATGAACTTTTATGCAGAACTGAATTCTTGCAAGACTAAGGCTGCGGCTTTAAGTTTGATTCACCCCTTCTCGGATGCTTTTGTTTCTAAGAACAGAAACGTACCAACTATCTCAGATTTATTTGACAAGAAGTACCTAGACTTCGAGTATCATGACCTACTCAAGGCCTGTGAAAAAATTTTCCCAAAAATCACTGATGAAGAGGTGAGGCTCATAGAGGAAGATACCAGAAGCCAGTCAAAAGGGCTCTAGCTTCTATCGTCACAGGGCTGGGAGAATTGGGGCATCAATTAGCAAAGCAGCATGTCACACCAACCAGCACAGCCCTCACAATCACTTATTAAAACAATTTGTTACCCAAACATTTTCACATTTAGTACAGAGGCTACAAAAAATGGTTGTAAACATGAAAGTGCTGCTATTGAAGCTTATGAAAAGATCATGAAGGAAAAGCACATCAACTTTCCAGTAACGAAATGTGGCACGTTTATCAATAAACAGTATACATTGTTACATGCCACACCTGACTTTTTGTATAGGTGTAATTGCTGTGGGGATGGATGTGGGGAGGTAAAATGCCCCTATTGTTTAAAGGATACAGACTTGAAGCAGTTTATTAACAAATACAACTCTTGTTTGAAGTTAGAAAATGGAGATGCAATTCTAAAAAGGGAACATGCCTACTATTACCAAACCCAACAGCAAATATTCACTGCTGGAAAGCTTTACTGTGACTTTGTTGTTTGTGGTTTTCATGAGCAAATTGATCTCTTCTGTGAAAGAATTTTGCCTGATGTCAGCCACTGGCACTCTTTTGTTTCCAAACTTAATCACCTCTGGAGATACTGTGTGCTACCAGAAATTCTGGGAAGGTGGTATACTCAAAAGCGAAGTTTGTCTCATTCATCACCTGATCCCAATTCTGCTTGTTTTTGCAGACTGGCAACTGGAGGGCCTGTGGTGACATGCACAAACCAAGCATGCCCCATTTCTACTTTTCATTTATCTTGTTTGAAAATTACAAAAGAACCTAGCAAGTGGTTTTGTCCCCTGTGCCAAAAAAACACCGGCAGCCAAAAATGAAAAATCAAAATGCAAACAGACAAGAGATATTTTGGATGAAGCTCTCAAATTAGATTTTATCTGCACGTGCAAACAGAAGCCACTGTGTTCAGAAACTGCTGAAATGCCATAACCCATTTTGTCAAAGTGGAAAGTTTTTTCATTTGCCCTGCTTAAACTTCCAGCGGATGCCGAATCATGCAATGACAACTTGGGAATGTATGGTATGTGAATCAGGAGGAAAAACTGAACAAAGCAAAAAAGTTGTTAATGACTCTTTCAATACATCTGATGATGGAGTTGTGATAACTGGAGTTTCAAAATGCTCTTCAGAAAAGTCAGCATCACTTGCAAAGCTGAAGGATGGGCATTACCGACTGATTTCGTCACCCAATGGTTGGCTTGACTGTGACATTATCCATGAAGTACATGTTTGTCTCAGAAACATTAATCCAGATGTGGAGGGCTTATAGAGACCAACTTTGGGCCCTGTCAGAAACTTCAATCAAGTTAATGGGGAATTTATTCAGATTTTGCATACTGGTAATGCCCACTGGGTATGTGTAGGCTCAGTAGGGTGTGAAGATGGCACTGTCAACTTGTATGACAGTCTGTATCATAACATTATTCTAAATGAAGTACAAGAGCAGGTACTCAATCTTGTTGGACATTCAAATTTTACTGGCATTCAAGTTCTCCCTGTTCAACAACAGTCAAATGGCAGTGACTGTGGAGTATTTGCTGCGGCCTTTGCTACATGTCTTGCTTATGGTATACACCCTGAAACAGTGCAATTTCATGTCCCTAAAATGAGAAACCATTTATATCAGTCTTTAAAATCTGGTGTATTGAAGATGTTTCCTACATTTTAGACTGCATAAGGTACATCTTTGGTTAAAAAAGTTTTGAAGAGAAAGAATAGCTGCTTTATTATAGAGAAAATAATATAGTTGCCCAATGGACCTGCATATTGGAAAGGAACAATCAATTCACATAGTAATTTTACCCAAAATATAACTAACCTGATAACTTCATTGATCACTAAGTTCTTGATTGACAAACACGGGAATCATTGTTGCCATTGTGTATGAACAAGACAAAATACTGCTGAAATACCAGGATATAATGCTTATCCCATGCTTAAACAGTAGCGCCTCCCGAAAACCTTAGATCCAAAACCTTTATGTAGTTATTCAATGAGCAAATAGTGCTATCGTATATAGTGGACTACATGTATTAAATTACTGGTATCTAATGTTTGGCTCTCAGCGAATGAAAATCATTTAGAGGATAATTCTATCTGCTTTGATAATGATGAAGATGATGATGAGACCTTTATTCAAGTGTCAACGTGTACTAGCACTAAGTGAGGACACTAAAATAAGGTTTAAAAGAATAAATAAATTAATTCATTCATTAAAGATGTAAAAAACCAGAATGTGCAGAGTGTGCAAATAATAAATTCAGGAGAACTGTAAAGAATATGAACAAATGTAGCTATTACAGGTCAAATTTTACTTTAGGTTAATTTTGATTTAACCAAGGTTGATTCTCCCTTTCCTTTGTTTCCTAGCCCTAAGTGAAACCATTGGATGATACAGTGGAAACAGCTCAAGCCCGAGGCCAAGGCTTTGAATATTGATGACAAAGATTCAGAATGCTGAAACTCAAGAAAAAAAATTATGAATGACTAAATTTTGTATTGTTTCACTTCATTCTACATTGCTATGCTTTTGTGAAAGATTATTGCAGGGTGAAGCCATTACAGTACAATACCATACATAACTTTGTCGGAGTATTAAATATCAATTCTGTCTCACCAATGTTTGCAAAGATATAAATTTCTTATAAAAGCTGATGAGCTTACTCAAAGGGAACAACAGATGGGGAAAGATTTGTAATGGCTGCACAAACCCTGATCATCCTGTCAATAAGTGGAATTTTTCCACTTTTCTCTGAACATGTCATATAATCCATTGGTAGTATTCCCTGCAGGATAGAATACTTTTGCCTCAGCAGTCCAATGACACGCTCGACATGTATTCGCACATTCGCAATTCCTCGTGTTCGTTCCACATCAAGTGGATCAAGTTGGTTCTTTCCTCTAGTGAAGGCAGGGATAGCTAACTGTGCCTGGTAGAGTGCAACACTTTCCTGAATGGTGAACCCTCGGTCTGCCATAACAAGGTCCCCTGGCTTCAAGTGGTTCAATAAACCACACTTATCAGTTAAGTATTTATCAGAAGTCCTTCCTCCCCATGCTTTGGAAGTAAAACAAATAGACCCTTGGGGTGTAATTGCGATGAGCACCTTGACAGTATCGTGGTGTTTATAGTTAGAAACTGTTTGTGCTCTTGCTAGAAGATTTGAAGGTCGCTCTATGAAGATCTCAAAACAGTCAATAATAATGGTGTTTTTTTTCCAAATGAGAACTGAAAACAAAGAGACATCGTGTGCCAGACCTCATCTCGATCAGGCCATCTGATGATAGGGGAAGGCCCGATATCCATCACAGTTAACCAGGTGGAGAAGGTTCTTGAAATAATACTAAGAGAAACGCCAAACCTATACGCAAGGTCTTGCAGAGGAACATTCAATCTTAATTTCATTACTACCATAATAAATTCTTGAAACAAAGACAAGCTTTTACTCCTTCGAGTGACGAATGGACTGATGAAAGAAAAAGTTGCTTTGAGCACATCAAAACCCGGCAAACCAGTGTAAAACCTCACCCTGTCACCATGATCAGCAAAATATTCCTCAGTAAAAGGTTGCAGAACAGCTTGCTTAAATAAATATTCAAATTCAGGTGTTTGAGTTTCAGCATTTTGGGTAATTTTTACCCCTGACTCTGGCGTTTGACTTTCACCATTCATTGTTTTCTGGTCATGACTTCCGTATAATTCTTCCTTGGTTTCTGGATCTTTGTCATCAACACTCAAAGCCTCGGCCTCGGGCTCGGCCACGTAGAATATCTCATCAGCTGTTTGCCCTGTAGCATCCACTCGTTTCCCTTTTTCTTCCACCTCCTTTTCTGCGATCTCTGCTCGACGTTTGCGTCTGTTGGCAGCTCTCTGTGCTCGAGCAGCTGCTTCTTCAGGATCCTTTACGTGCTGTTTTGAATGACCAAGATGGAGGGTAGGGACCCAATCTACGTTGAATCGATCCCAATCTTTCGCAGCTTCTCCTGAAACGAAGTGCTGGCTGCAGACCCGATCGCGTTCTAAAATATCATCAGTTAAGTCTTCTCTACTTATCGCAGAGATCCACTTTATTCTTCGCTCAGAAGTAAGTTCTTCGGTGTACTCTCCTTGATTGACTATAACACGTGGGACACGGAAAAACCTTACTTTTTCGACGTTAGACCGCTTCTTCCCTGTTTTGCTCCCACAGCTAATGATAAGGCAAAGGACCATGATAAAAACAATATTCTGGCTATCATGGAACACCAACATGGCGGATGAAATCCGTTACCATGACGATATAGAAATTTGGTCACGTGAGTGAAAACGCTCTATAATTGTCATGCAACTGGCCATACGAAGACAACATGCCGCAGTCCTCATTGTTCAAATATTGATTCGTGTAAAATAAAAGACAAACACCCTGAGCACAAAATGAAGGTCAACGAGCTTCAGCGCGAGATTAAATCACTTGAAAGTCAAGCAGCAGAGGAAGAGGAAAACATCAAACGTTTAGCAAGCGCACGGGAGGGCGCCAAGACATCATTCTTTGCAGTGATGCGGCCTAGATTAAAGGCGCAGAACTTGCTCAAATATGGTACCGGGAAACGAATGCAACTGGATCGTGATCTTCTAATTTTACAGGGAGCCTTGAACAATAAAGTTCCAGACTGGCCTGAGAGCCAGGACTGGAAACTTCCACTTATCATTGATCAGTTTCAGAACTCTCAATTGAAGGCAATGATGCCGAAATTCTTGTAATTTATTTTGTCACGTTTATACGCCTTTCGTTTTGTTACAGCGAAACTGTTGATTTTGACATGTTATATAATTTTGATTAAAAAAATAATAATACGTTTTACGTTGGGTTACAGAGAA